GGCCTCATGCGAGGGGAGGCGGCGAGCCAGAGAAGGAGACGAGGGAAGCGAGGGGGGAGCGACGCCACTGTGGCCTGAGCGGCGGAGCCCAGGGCGCAGGCAGCTCCCGGAGCTGGGAAAGGTGGAGACATTGTCTCTGGCCCAGAAGGCAGCAGGCTTGACTTCAGCGTGGTGAGGCCCATCGGGCTTCCAATCCCAACTACAAATCAATAGTGTCTTGTTTTTAACTCTAAGTTTGCAGTGATTTGCTACGGCAAGAATAGGAAACCAACACCTCACACCTCCGAATGAGTGTTAGGCAATCTCCGGGCCAGCTGGCGGGCAGTCTCCGGTTTTACCGCCCTTTCTAGGCGGCGATGAGGCGTGGAGGCGAAGGCGGGCCCTGAGTTGTGCCCGAAACCCAGCCGCTGTGCCACACGGGGGTGACCTGGGCTCCCGGGCTCCGCAGAGGAAAGGGGGCTGAGAGCACCACCCGTGAGAGTTTAGTAAACCGCCTAGCAAGTGCCTGCTGCCTGCCACCCGCCCCATCCCTGCTCACCGCCCCTCTGCTCCCGCCCAGTGTGTCTACGGCGGAGTCCTGAGAGGAACCGGCCGGCAGGCCTTCGGAGCCTTGGTGAACGCCATCGCCTACTACGCCATCGGCCTCCCACTGGGCATCGTTCTGGCCTTTGTGGTCAGAATGAGAACCATGGGTATGTGGGGAGGAGTGAGGAGAGGGTGGGGCGGGCGCTGGACACGTGCCCATTGTCACTGTCCCCACAGGCCTCTGGCTGGGCATGCTGGTCTGCGGCGTGCTGGCCGCGGCTGCCTTGGCCGCCTACACTGCGCGGATGGACTGGGCGCTGGCTGCGGAGGAGGTGAGTGTGCGGCCCGGCCTGGGGACACGCGCGCCTGGCCGGCCCGGTGAAGGGATGCCCCCAGAGCGGCCCCGGCACCTGCTTCGTGGGGCCTCAGTGGACCCACCCGCTCTGTCCTGTGATGGAGCCCAGACGGGGCCATGGCAGCAGCTCGCGCTCCGATTAGAGAGACGCGCACCCCAGAAAGCCCCCTCAGCCAGCCGGCTGCCGAACCCCAGGCAAAGGGCTAGTGCAACTGCCTGACCCCGCGTGCGCCCGCCGGGCGAGCCGTCATAGCTCTTGTCCACCGCCGCGTGCAGGCCGGCCCGCGGGCAGAGCAGGAGGGGTGCCCTCTCCAAGCCCCCGGTCCCCAGGGGTGCGGTTGTGCCCTCCTGTGGGGAGCGAGTCATCTTGGCGTGTAAGACGATGGCAGCACGGATGTAAAGCAGCACCATTTAAGGCCTGCCCCACCCCGAGCGTGTGCGGCCTCAGCGGCCGGTGTCACAGGCCAGCCAGGGAGCCGCCCCACAGGCAGGCAGGGAGCTGCCACGGAAGAGGCAGGCAGAGTGGGCGAGGCTTACCCAGCAGCACGTGAGGCTGCCCGAGGCGGCAGCTAGACCAGCACCGCTGCACCCCCGCCAGGATCTTTGCTGTTGACATAGAAGCCCCGACCGGTCAGCCGCACCCGGTCCATGGCTCCCCCACGGTCCTCCCCCCTCCTCTCTGCAGGGCTGCGCTCTGGGGCAGCTGGAGCAGGGAGGGAAGCAGAGCGCAGTCCCAGCACGGAGGTCGGGGGGGGGGGGGGGAGTGGGAGCTCCCGATTTGAGGTCCAGCTCCTGGTGCTGGAGGGCTGGCAGGCTGACCCGCGGGCTCTCTCCTGCAGGCTGAGAAGTACTCGGGGCTGCGGCGGCAGGGCACCGAGCACCCCGCGAGCGGGGCCCCCAGAGCCGGGCCCGAGGAAGGGGCCGGGTCTGCAGGTAATGCTGGAGGTGCTTCTGCTGGGCTCAGACACAAAGGCCAGCGGCTGCCTGTCAGGCAGCTGGAACCAGGCAAGCCCAGGGCTCTCGGCGTGACAGGACGTCTGAGCCCCGGAAGACACACTCACACACGTGCCCTCCGCCACGTGAGGCCGCGAGCCATAGCACGTCCTCAGGCGGAAGCAGGGCTGGGAGCTAGGTCTCCTCGCTGTCCCTCCACTGGCAAAGGCAAGAGGTGAGGCCGAGCGGGCGGTCATAGCGCCCCCTCCGCTCAGGGCAGAAGGCTGCGCCCTGGCCCACAGCTGTCCTGTTGGCGGGGGCAGGTCTGCCTGGCTCGCTACCTGGAGCGGGCACTGCCCACCTACCTCCCTGCACCGCACCGGAGGCGGGCACCTCTGTTTACACCCGGTGTCTGTGGTGGAACGATGGCCCTGCTCAGGGCACAGGCTCCTGCCCCGGCCGTGCTGAGCGCCAGCCGCGCCCCGGCTGGCACAGTGGCCGCACCGCAGCCTGGGCGCATGGTCCACGAGGCAGGTCACACGCACTAGAAACCCCTGTGAGGGCCATGTCATGACAGGGGCAGGCTTAGCCAGGGACACGCCTCCCTGACCTTCATGGTAACGTTATCTGTGCGTTAAATCAGCTGACGGCGCTTTTCCGCACGGTCCCCTCCGGTGCCCCCGCTGCAGCACAGAAAGGCGGCCGCTCCGTGCGGCTCACGGTGGGGGCCGAGCTCAGTTAGCGGGGCCTGTGGCAGACGGTGCAGCCAGGCTCCCCACTCCGCCTCCCCGGCCTGGGATCGCTGAGCTGCTCCCCTTTGCTCCGCAGTGGCCACAGGCACCTGCCCTGGCGTCTCCCTGACGATGTTCTCGAGCCCCGGGTGCCACAGGGACCACTTCAGGACTCCAGACGCAGCCCCGGCGCTCCCAGCTCCTCCCAGCGGGCTGTCGGGGAGGCAGCTGGCCCTCCGCCGCGGGGCTGCTCTGGGGGCCGCGTCGGCCACTCTGACCGCGGGGCTCGTGGTCAGCATCCTGGCCTCCAGGCGCTAGCCGAGTGGCTGCTGAGGAAGGAAGCCGAGAGGCTGCCCCACTGCACAACCAAGCTCCTACGGGATGCAGTGCGAGGCCACACCGGCCACTCCCCCAAAGGGCCCGGCCGCGGCCGACAGGTCTGACTTGCGCAGATTGTGTTGTGGTCAATGGCTCTCTCTGCCCCAGACTGAAGGCGAGGCTCCTGGGGATCGCACTTACTCAATAATGCAAACGGCTTCCAATTGGACATTTCAAAGCAAAACAAACACCATCACATTAAAAAGTATGCATTTCCTAGCTCCGTCTTCGGCCCAATCTGTCCGCAGCCTTCGCGAAGCTCTGGAAAAGGGGCCAGTGGGCCGAGACCACGCCTGTTGCCTGCCCCACGCCCCCCCGCACCGGCAGTGAGGCTGGCTGTCCGTAACCCCTCCCCCACCTTCCCCCAACCCCTCATCCCACTGGCATTTCACTTGTCAGAGACCTTGAGAAACCGTTCTTACCGCAGTGATGACACGAGGGCGCCAGCCCAGCTCGCTTTGCTGCAGGAGGAACTCAGTGTTGACCCGAATTCTGAGCCCGGGGAACATCTGCGGGCTCCTTGCTGTCTCAGCCGCACACACACCGCCACCGAGGGCAGAGGGCAGGCCGGCCTCCATGGCCAGTCCCTCAGCATCAGCGGCTATAAACACTCACAAACCAACCAGATGGGCTGATCAAGGACAGAGAAAAGGACGCAGAGTCTAGCTCTGTTTCGAAGGCCAACGTGCTATGAATCAGTCTCCTGTTCGCAGCGTCCACACAGACACCCAGCCTCCGGCCCACAGGAAGGCAAGCCTACACCCTTGTCTGACACAAATGCCTTTTGTTCGCGAGCGTTTAGCACCCGTCACACACCAGGTGCAGAGCGTGGTGAGGTAGTGCCACTGGCTCTTCGTGTCCCGTGGTTCCCGGGCGAGGAGGGAACGGTCCATAGCCTGACGAGCCGTGGAAACACGGGCACCTGGAAGGCCCTTCCGGCCGTGGGCACTCAATACGCTGGTGTCTCCAACAGCCCCCGGGGGCAGGTCGGTGTGGGACCTTTTTGTGTGAGGCCTGTGGGATTAGTGTCCTCTGAATGTGCTTACAAAAACCTTTTAGACCAGCAAATGGGGATCCGAGGGTAAGATTGTGACACCAGTTCTGATGTTTCCTTCCCGGCCACCGAGCATTTCTGGCACCAGCTGATGTCCCACAACTTAACTCGGTTCTGACTATGCACCTGGACACAGCATCAGACCCCACAGGTTAGGGACTGGGTCCCACAAGACCCCCCCACCCCCGCCCCCACCGGCAACTTCAGGCTCTGAACACAAGTCCAGGTGTCACCTGACCCACCAGCACAGATGGGAGGTTCCAATGACCCCTCCGCAGGCCAATTAACTTGTCAGAGTGGCCCAGGGAACTCACTCGCAGGGATACTTTACTGACTGGATGACCAGTTGATTAAAAAATGTAACTCGGGGGCAGCCAGATGGGAGACCACAGGCACAGAGCAGGGAAAGGGGGTGGGGCCGCCCTGCCATGTCCCCCGTGCTCCCCAGCCTGCTCCCCACTCCCGGCCTTGGGGCCTTTATGAAGCTTCACCACAGAGGCTCTGACCGAACCACTGGCACCGGTGACTTAACTCCACCTCCGGCACCCCTCCCGCTCTGAGGTCTGGGAAGTGCCACCCCTCTAATCACAAAGCTGGTCTCCTTGGCAACCGTCTCCCATCCCTCATCCTCGGGCCCTGTCCGAAAACCCTTACCATTAACATTAACAAGACGCCTTAGTCACTCTCATCACTTAGGAATTCTGTGGCAGGAACAGGGACAGAGACCATATCTATTTCTTATTATAAATTACAACAGCCCAGAGGATGTAGTTGGAAAAAAACTATTTACTACAAAGGTATTTTAAAAAATAAAAACCAAACTACAAAGGGCAGAAAGCGAAGCTTGAGAAAACCTCCTCAGCTAGAATTTAACACGAGGACGCATGGCTTAAAGGAGGTTGAGACACCACCTCCGGTAAAGACAAAATATGTATTTATAGTTGGAGAAAATATATGATCAAAGAATTCTGTCCCAAAGATCATGCCTGAGGTTCCACACTAAGAATGTTATGGAAATCATACCCTTTCATCAAATATAATGGTTTATTTTGAAGCAGAATATACTAGTAGACAAGCCAATAATTTAGTTTAATTAGAAATTATAATTACAATTTACTAAATGAAAATGCCATTTTGAAATTATGATTATTCTATAGTTATAGTTTAAGCAGCTTTTTCCTAAACCAGTGTAGTGATTAATTCCTGACGCCTCATTCTGTGATAAAGACATACTTCAGACCGTCTTCAAGGAACAAACTCATTCAACGAAGCAGATTATACATTCCATAAAGTGAATTACATTCTCTCATCGAGTGGGCGGAGTCTGTTTCAAATGGGGGGAGGTGGGGCTCTGGCCGCCAGCCCCTCAGCAGGCCCCATAGGGCGCCCGCCCGCCTCTGGGCTCCTCGAGCACATTCCCCAGCGGGCGGCTGCTGGCCCTCCATCCCCTCAGCCTGGCCAACTGCTACGGCGTCCAGTCCTCCTGCAGGTTTCTCCAAAGGACCACCCCCAGGTCCTGAGCACCCAAGGCCTCTTGTCCCCGACAGACAGGAAATGGGTTCCCCACACGGGGCCTCTCTGCAGCTTAAAGAGTGAAACTTACTTGCATTGTTGCTATAGAATAAAAAACGTAAAGATCTGCCCTTGGAAAACCACTAACTTGCAATTTCAGGGCCCTGACAGAGGATAAGAATGGTAAGTACAGCACTCCTACTACGACGTTTGAAAATGCCAGTTAGGTTTTGTAAGATGTAGGATCTGTAACGCCTACACCGTGAGAGTGACAGGTGACACCCGAATGAAACGGGCACTGTCTTCCCGGAAGTCCTAGGGCTCACAGGATGCTTCAGGGTTACCGTCACAATAAGCCTCCGTGGCAGGGACAAGAGATGCCACAACCAAACACAAGGCAGGACGGTGAACGGACGAGAACGGAGGAGCACCACTGGTCTGATGGGCGGGCCAACTCCTGGAGGTCAGGTCCACAAGTCCCAAGGGGTGAACGAGGGACAGGGACCCAGCTCCCCCAGTTCTAGAGCCGGGGAAAATCCATCCTCATCTCTCCGGACTGAACTCTTGAAAGTTTCCAGAGTGATGGAGGCAACAGCAGGGACGGGGCGGGGTGTCCCATGTCCCATGAACGGGGGGAGGCGGTCCCTGGGCGGGTCTGAGGCTCCTCCGAGCTCCCAGGGGACGCAGGGGTAGCTCCAGACCTTCTCCTTCCCCGGCCCCAGCCCGGCAGCACAGTCCAGAGCGGGTTCTGAGTGTCCTCAGGGGGGAATGCTGGGATTTGGCTGAAATGCAAGTTGCATCCATGGCGCTTGGCAATGACGTCAGGGTTGAGTGCAGGGCTGCATATTCTCTTTCCGTTTTTGGTAGGATGCTAAACCTATGGCTTCATGAACTGCTTCTCAGAGGAATGATTCGGTGGGGGCAGCGAGGAGGCTGAGCAGGCCACTCTTCAGTAGTACACAGCCTGCAGGGGAGAAAGAGACCAGGTTACCCAGCAGCCCTGGAGCGGGAGCTGAGGATGCCACCTCCAAACGCGTTCCATCCAAGGTCGCGTATCCCTCAGGGTCTACGTGCGGTGTGAACTGGGTCAAGATTATGCTCTTCCCCCAACGCCTGTAACCACACAGGTTGGTGCCGGCGGCGGCATCCTGTTCCAGGCCAGTGGGACAGCCCTGGCCTAGAGAAGGGAGTTAAAAATGCTTATTTACTGTCCTCGAATTGCGAGCAGCCGCTACATGAAATCGGAGAACTGCTGACAGCTGCAGTACCACTAAAGCTTCACCATGGGTGGGAGGGTGGCTCGTTAAAGCGTCATCCCCATACAGAAAGGTTGAGGGCTTGCTCCTGGTCAGGGCACATACAAGAAATCAACCAATGAACGCATAAGTAGGTGGAATAACAAACGATGTTTCTCTCTCTCTCTCCCTCCCTTTAAAAATTAATTTAAAACACGACTAAAATTCCAAAGTCCTACGAACTCCAAGCCATACTGCGAGGCTGAAGAAGCGCTGCCACACACCTTAGAGTTCAACTGTCATATTTAATTTTCAGAGGCCGAATGGCACTTACCAACTAGCCTTTTACCCCTGACCCTTCCACGCCCTCCGCAACGCTCCCCGCAGCTCAGGCTGCACTTCACTGGGGCTCTGTGCACTTGTACGCGTGTGTTCCAATGTCTACAGGAACTGCCCGAGGCTCTGAAAGGCTCTTTGGAGAAAAGCACTCACGCTGTCCGTTTCCCATTTACTGATAAGTGTTTCTGACCCACCCTGGCCTCACGGCTCAGGTGGTTGGAGCACCGTCCTGACTCCAAATGTTGTGGGTTCGATCCCGGTCGGTGTGTGTGTGAGGCAACCAAATGATGTTTCTCTCTCACATTGATGTTTCTGTCTCTCTCTCCCTCTCCCTTCCTCTCTCTCTCAAATCATTAAAAACATATCCTTGGGAGAGGATTTTTAAAGAAGTGTTTTAAATCCACCCTAATTCTAGCAAAATGAATCCAATCACATCCACACATAATTATAATAAAGATTCCTCAAGTAAATGACCAATATAGGCTCGGTCATTTATCTACACTAATAAAAGAGAAACATGGTAATTAGCGTACGACCGCTACCCTTCCCATTGGCTAATCAGCATATCCTTATGCAAATTAACTGTCAGCCAAGATGGCGGCCGGCAGCCAGGCAGCTGGAAGCAAACATGAGGCTTGCTTGCTCCAGTGACTGCAGACTCCAGCGTTCCCCGCCTGACTTGCCGGCCTCTGAGCTGCAACTCTAAGAAACTTTGTAACAAATATAGAAGCTAAACAAAACCCCAGAAACCAGCTTTCAGCCAGCCGGGATCTCAGAGCTGGAGTTATACATTGTTTCGATTATAGAACGCAATCAGCAGCGGAAGCCTCAGAGCTAGAGCCAGAGCTAAAGCTGGCCCAGAATAAAAAAGAAAAAAAAAGAAAAAAAGGAGCGGTTGGGAGCTTCAGTCAACAACCGCCAGCCTGAAAGCAGCCCTCAGCCCCTCACCCAGACTGGCCAGGCATCCCAGTGGGGACCCCCACCCTGAAGGGTGTGTGACCAGCTGCAAACAGCCATCATCCCCTCATCCAGGCTGGCCAGGCACCCCAGTGGGGACCCCTACCCTGATCCAGGACACCCTTCAGGGCAAACCAGCCGGCCCCCAGGCCTCTATCCTATATAGTAAAAGGGTAATATGCCTCCCAGCACCGGGATCAGTGGAGCCGCGAGGCCTCCTGGCACCGGATCAGCATGACAGGGGGCAGTGCCCAAACCCCCTGATCGCCCTGCAGCTCTGTGTGTGACAGGGTGTGGCGCCCCCATCCCCCCCCGCCCCCCACAGGCCCTGCTCTGTGTGTGACAGGGTAGAGCCATAACCTCCCCATCGGCCCTGCCCTGAGTGTGACAGTGGCGGTGCCCCAACCCCCTGATCGGCCCTGCTCTGTGGGTGATAGAGGGCGGCGCCCCAACCCCCTGATCCGCCCTGCTCTGTGTGTGACAGGGGGCGGTGCCCTAACTCCCCTATCAGCCCTACTCTGTGCGTGATGGGGGGGAGCTCCCCAACCCCCTGATGGGCCCTGCTCTGTGCATGACAGGGGGCAGCGCCCAACCCCCTGATGGGCCCTGCTCTGTGCGTGACAGGGGGCAGTGCCCCAACCCCCTGTTACGCCCTGCTCTGTGCGTGACGGGGTGGCGCCGCAACCTCCCCATCGACCCTGCCTTGAGTGTGACAGGGGGCGGTGCCCCAACCCCCCAATTGGCCCTACCCTGAGCGTGACTGAGGGTGGCATCACAACCTCCCAATCCGCCCTGCTCTGTGCATGACAGGGGGCGGCGCCCCAACTCCCCAATCAGCCCTGCTCTGAGCCCGACCAGGGGCTGCACCTAGGGATTGGGCCTGCCCTCTGCCACCCAGGAGCAGGCCTAAGCCAGCAGGTCGTTATCTCCTGAGGGGTCCCAGACTGCGAGAGGGCACAGGCCGGGCTGAGGGACCCCCCCTCCCCCCTGAGTGCACAAATTTTTGTGCACCGGGCCTCTAGTATTTACAATAAAAGGTGATTTAAAAAAAATGGATACAAGCTCAGAGAGAATAGCAGAGAAGCAGCTAAGAGGAAAAGAAAACCAAATCTTTCCATATTCTCACTGAATTCAACCAACCTGAACAGCTAACACACCCGCTCACAGGACTGCGAGCTGAGAGGTGGAGCTCACAGGACTGCGAGCTGAGAGGTGGAGCTGGAGGGGCCTGGGAAGCCTGATGCCTGCCCTGCCTACAGGTGAGGACGCTGAGGCCCAAGGAAAGGCCTTGCCCAACGTCATAATTAGGTTGATCTCAAAGTCAGGAATCAAAGCCACATTATACACACACACACACACACACACACACACACACACACACATATATATAGATTGATTTCAGAGAGGAAGGGAGGGGAGAGATAGAAACATCAATGATGAGAGAGAATCATTGGTCGGCTGCCTCCTGCACACACTCTACTGGGGATTGAGCCCTGACCGGGAATTGAACTGTGACCTCCGGGTTCATAGGTCGATGCTCAAGCACGGAGCCATGCTGCCGGGTGCAGCTACGCACTGTTACACGGTGCTGCTTCTCCAGACCCTAATGTGGGAGCCTTCCTGAGAGTATGGCAGGCCCGAGAGCAGTCAGCCGGGACCTCCAAACTGCCATGAGGCTAAGAAGTCCCAGCCCAGCCCAGCCCTGGAGCTGCAGCTGAGAGGGGAAGAAAGCCGCACCAGGCTGCTGCCGGCAAAGAGCTGCTCCTGGCGCGCTGGGGCCGCAGGAAGGCGAAGAATGGAAAGCCCTGAGCTGTACACACCAGCTGCTGCCATGAATCCTAAAGTCACATTTTAAAAACCAAAACAACTCAAAACAAAACAAAAAGTGACTAAGAGATTCTTAGAAGATTCTCAAATTATGAAACAAAGCGTTTGGTGTCTAAAGCGACTGCAGGTCTACACTGGCTGGCGGTCCGGTTCCGGAGCCTGGGGGGATGGGGAGAGGAAGGGGCAGTGCGTGCCTGTCCTTCTGTAAAACTGATGCACCTTCATCCAGACCCAGCTAACCATCACCTCTACACTTTTTTAAAAATGTATTTTATTGATTTTTTAGAGAGGAAGGGAGAGAGATAGAGAGTTAGAAACATCGATGAGAAAGAAACATCGATCAGCTGCCTTCTGCACACCTCCTACTGGGGATGTGCCCGCAACCAAGGTACATGCCCTTGACTGGAATCGAACCTGGGACCTTTCAGTCCGCAGGCCGACGCTCTATCCACTGAGCTAAACTGGTTACGGCACCTCTACACTTTTTAAGATTCTAGCGACCCACCCTCACTCACCCTTTTGAAATGTGGAAAAGTTAAGTTTTAACATCTGATACTCTGGGCCAAAGTCCAAATCGAAGGCAAATGAACACTGTCTTCCACAGCCCCAAGCCCGCTGCACAGAGAGAAGAAGTCCTACCTCACTCCCACAGACAGCTGGTTTCTGACACGTCCGCTCACACGGCTCCCTGGGCCGCCAGGAGGCCCAGTGGGGCCTCCCTCCTCAGCACAGCCCGGTGTTTCTGAGAAAACCCAAATGACCTCACATGCAACTGGATCTCCGATTCCACCCAAGCCCTGCTGCTTTGGAACAGGACAGACACACACACGCTATTCCCACGGCACGCTCGAGCTCCGCCGCTCCCCCCAGCCTGCTCCTCACAGATGAGTTCCTTCAGTGGCAGCCCCAGAACCACTGCCTGCCCTCCCACCCCAGCTCGCACCGGCTCGCCCCTCAAGGACACAAACTGCCTTGGGAGGCGGCGGTCAGGGCCTCTCAGCAAACCCATGTCTATGTTGCTGTCACCAAGAGAATCGTATGGGAGTCAAATCTGGAGGAAAAGCACTCAGACCTCCCTCAGCGGTCGCTTCACCACCACCACCGCCACCAGAGCTCCTCCTCCCTCTCAGGCACATTCACCAACAAAACTGAAGCCGAGGCACCAGGAGCAAAGCCCCAGAGGGTTGGGTGGCTCAGAACTCGGCCAGGCGGTCCTCGTGGTGTGAAGTCTGAGACCAGAGGTCGGCGACTGAGCCGCAGGCCATGGGCTCTGTGGCCGCGAGTCTCAGCACAACAGCAGCCAGAGGCCAAGCCAGCGAGGGCGTGGCTGTGCCCCCACCTTTTTGCAAAAACAGGAGGCTGGCCAGCAGGCTGTGCTGGCCCACCGCCTTCATCTGAGCCAGAGTTCATGAAAAGATCCCAGGAGCCCCCCAGACAACAGGCACACAGCTGGCGGCCACCCAGGCAGGACCTGACGCCGGCACGCGCCTCGGGACTTACCTTGACCAGCACGGCGGCCACAATGCCCAGGACGGCGAGGAGCAGGAGACCGAGTTTTCCTTTGCTGAATCGTTTCAAAATGAAGAATTTTGCCCAATCCACCTTTGACTGGCTGTTCGGGGGATATCTGAGTTTGTTAGCACTTTCTCTCTTTAAACTTTTCACTAAACAGGGACGTTGATGAGAAAAAGTATCGAAACTATGTTTTCCGTGATAAGCTCCCATCCCACTGGAACCTGAAAGACAGGGACAGACACCGAGGTTGTGCTGCAGGCGGCACTGCTGCCTCGGACCGGCTCCACCTCTGGGCCGGCGCCGGGGACTCCTCTCAGGACACTCTTCCCAGCGCCCCCACCAGGCGGGCCTCCCTGTAAAACAGGACGCTCCCCAAGAGGAGGGCAGGTGGGCAGCTCCCCGGCAGGGCTCTCAGGACGCCAGGGACAGTGCTGTGCGGCCTCTGACCTCACTCACCACCCCCCACAGTACTAAGTGTCATCACCCCAAGTCCAGAGGGGAGGGAGCCCGCAGGGGCGGGTACTGCCCGAGATGAAAACGCAAAGCCAGGATGGAGCCCAGACCAGCCACGTGGCTCCACTCCACAGCCCTACGCACCCACCGGCTGCCTCCAAGCTCCCAGAAAGCACCCAAGACCAGGACGACAGGTGACACCGCTGGGTGGTGACAGGCAAGTGTCAGTCTCTGCCTCTCAAAAGCCATGCTCTCGGCCAGTTTTCACATCTCAAATCTACTGTGTGTGCTGGACAGACACGTGTACGGCACCGTGGCACAGGCCATCACGTGTACGGCACCGTGGCACAGGCCATCACGTGTACAGGACCGTGGCACAGGCCATCACGTGTACGGGACCGTGGCACAGGCCCTCACGTGTACGGCACCATGGCGCAGGCCATCACGTGTGCGGGACCGTGGCATAGGCCCTCACGTGTGCGGGACCGTGGCACAGGCCCTCACGTGTACGGCACCGTGGCACAGGCCATCACGTGTATGGGACCGTGGCGCAGGCCATCACGTGTACGGGACCATGGCGCAGGCCATCACGTGTACGGGACCATGGCGCAGGCCATCACGTGTACGGGACCATGGCGCAGGCCATCACGTGTACGAGACCATGGCGCAGGCCATCACGTGTACGGGACCATGGCGCAGGCCATCATGTGTACGGCACCGTGGCACAGGCCATCACGTGTACAGGACTGTGGCACAGGCCATCACGTGTATGGGACCGTGGCACAGGCCCTCACGTGTACGGCACCATGGCACAGGCCATCACGTGTATGGGACCATGGCACAGGCCATCACGTGTACGGCGCCGTGGCGCAGGCCATCACGTGTACGGGACCATGGCATAGGCCATCACGTGTACGGCACCGTGGCATAGGCCATCACGTGTACGGGATCATGGAGCAGCCCGGACACCCAGGGCCAGCAGGCAGTTCACTGGTCCATCACTTAGATGGCAGCTGAAGCGGCAGGGAAATCTGGCAACATGGATCAAAAGGTCAGCATTTTGAAAAGAACGTGAAAGACATCAGCAGAGGCTATCTCTAGCCAGTGGGTTATGGGTAATCTGAGTTTGTTTCTTCGGGCTCCTCTATCTTTCCCGAGTTTTCTTACTAAGCCATTTGGGGGGAAGGTTTGTTTTGTTACAAAGAAGAGCATCTGGTCAATGGTGCCAAATGTGCCCAGTCAGACAGGACTGAGCCTGTCACTCAGCACTTAGTGGCCCTGTGGCCTCGCAGGGCGCCACAGATCCTGCGGGCACGGAAGACCAGACACAACGGAGTCTCCTCTAATCCTTGAAGGATGTGGGCAGTGAGACCACATAACTACAGCCCAAATCTCACTAACCATCCTTTCCTTCATTCACCACCTCCCTCCACACCCAAACACTCCAATCCATCAGCAAATCATGTTGCTCGACCCCCAAGAGATCCCTCCCTCCTTAAATAAGAAGTTGAGTCAGCCCTCCCAGGTGTGAAAGAGGCAGGTAGGTCACAGCCCAGAGGGAGCCACAGGCTGTGCCCCAGAGCAGCACCAAGGTGAGTGCCCGGGGGACAGCTCAGGGCGAGCAGCCTGGCACTGCGCTCCTGGCACTGTCCCCTGCCACTCACTACCTCCCTAACCAAGATGGAGGGACCGGACTGCTGGCTCCAAAATCCCCTAAACGTGGGAGAAGGACAATCAACACGTAAAGCAACAAAAGGAACAAAATAATTGGAGGCCGTGGCAGGTGCTACTCAGGATGAAAGGTGGTGGCAGGACAGAGAGGAACCCGGCAGAGGGCCGGGGGGAGCAGGAAGAGGACTTGCCACCAGCAGAGGCCGGGAGGGAGCAGGAAGAGGCCCGGAGGGAGCAGGAAGAGGACTTGCCACCAGCAGAGGCCGGGAGGGAGCAGGAAGAGGCCTGGAGGGAGCAGGAAGAGGACTTGCCACCGGGCGCCGGGAGGGCGCTGGGAGAGGACCACCCGCGGAAAGCGCGGCGGCTGGGGGCGGCGGGGACACTCACCCACGCCTCCGAAGGGCAGGGAGCTGAGCGTGAAGTGCATGATCACGTCGTTGACCGTGACACCCCCGCTGGACGTGCAGTCGATCATCCGCCGGACGAGCTGAGGGACAGAGCGAGGCTGGGTCAGCGCTTCGGGCTGCACGGGGCGTGGGGGCGCCGCGCTTCACCTCCAATAGGACTCGGGGAGCCCCTGCTCTTCTCAAACCATGAGCCCGTACAGGAGAGGCGCCCGCACAGGGCAGACAGCAAACGTGACCCCTGCTGAACTTGGCAGGCGCATGGCTCGCACTTCACGGAGGCAGCCCCGAATCGCCCTTCGAGCTGGGCCCCCACAATGGCAGCGAAGCCTTTTTAACAATAAGGGAGGGTCCGGTCTCTGCTCTGGTTTTTTAAACTGTTACTACTTCTCCGTCTCTGCTTTAAGTTACAGAATATGACTTCTAGGCATCATTTAGCTTTTATGAAATGCAACGGATATGTAAGACTTAGCACCCGGTTTCTGAAGAAATGGTGTCCTAAGACCCGAATGGGGAAGTGAGACCTGACGGGTCAGTGCCGTCACCCGGGAGCCGACCAGCCCGGGCGCTTCGCCGGGAACGCCGCGGGGACTGCGCACAGGCCACCCACCGAGCGCACCTGCCCGGGACCTGAGCTTCCAGGCCGCATCGCCACCTCTACGGCCTCTGAGAGGTCAGGCCTGCGCGTGTGGCCAGCCCGCTCTTCACGCAGCCCGCACACCGTCTCCCCGCACCCGAGCGCTGCGCCGGGAGCGCCTCAGACCTCGACCGCCGGCTCCATCAGCCTCTGGACCCCACACGCCCACCTCAAGGCCACTGCCCCTCAGCAGCAGCCAGTCCCCTTGGAATGCACGTGGGCAAGCCACTCAGAAAAGGGGTGGGGCTGCCCGGGCTGAGGTCACACGTACAGTGCTCACCTGCTGGACGCTCCCCCCAACGGCAAGCGAGGCGGACAGCTCTCGCCAGCGCTCAGCAAGGAGGAGCTGAAGACATGGCACCACCTCCCGGCAGCGCCAGAGACTGCTGTCCCCCAGCCCTGAGCAGCGGCACAGAAAAGCTTCTAATGCTGGCCCGTGAGGCTCCCAATTACAGGGGAGATCTACCCCCAGGGGGTAGGCAGTCACCACAGCCCCACGCTTCCTGAGAAGAGGTGGTGGGTCCTAGTATCACACAAAATACACCACTGGCTCTGCTGCCAAAAGGGACCCGGACTTACAATAGTGGCTGTGAGTGTGCTGCGCTCTGTAACGTTTACCTTGTTGTTATGAGAAAACACATAGAAAGCCAATGGCTTTTCGCGGTCATTGATGAACTTTATGGCTTCATCTGCATTCTTCACAGGCACTATTGGAAGAATTGGTCCAAAAATTTCTTCTTGCATCACCTTGGTTTCAGGATCAACGTCAGTAAGTATTGTTGGGGCTGAAAACAAAATAAGCAAATGAAAATGCTACAGGAGACAGAGATGCAAACCGCCCACCCACCGTTTCAGCAGGCCACCTCTCCATCCCTTCCCTCCCCAAGGACCCGCCCGGGAAAGCCCGGAGTATGGGACGAGCCTGTGCTAACTGAATGTCTGCAAGCACGTGACTCGGGGTCACCATGCAAACCAAGAGAAAGAGCTGTGCCTGGATGCATCCTGCTCATGTTTAACCCTGGCCACAGCACACGCCTAACAGGAGGCTGTGAGCACAGCTCTGGGAGCACAGAGAGCCCCTCTGGGTCACATCAACACTTCTTACAAGTGCTTTCCTGCAGTCTCATTGACCTGCATTCCATTCGGTTACGAGTTAAGAAAACATACTTAAAAGGCCAAGATTCCCTCGCCCTCAGCTCAGTGCTCCATCCACTGCGGGCAGGGGCACAGGGAGGCACTGTGGACGCGGAAGGAGCTGGCGAGCACCCCAGCCTCCTGCCGCGCGTCCCGGTCAGCACACCCCAGGGACCTGTCACACGCTGGACGGTCAACTACGAAGGAAGCACCTGACAGCAGCGACTGTGCGCCTCCCTTACTCCTCGTCTCTGACAGGTTCTGCCAGCACTCAGGGGTGTCCCTGTGCACCCCCAGCCGTGCTCCCCCGGGTCAGAGAACGGGTTCGGTGTGGGTGTCCACCTCCTTGCACAGCCATGAGCTCAGATCAGGTGACCCTGACTCCAGGTCAGAGGAAAGCTCCTGGCTAGTCTGAGCTGATCATGAATGACCGTCCCCCTGGCCACTGATTAGCTGAGTGGTGGGCAAGTCAGCACGCTGAGGATGGAGGACAGAAAGACCAACCACGGGGCTTCCCGAGGTGTCACTGAGCCACTGACTTCACAGGCGGCACTCAGCTGCTCCTTATCCGAGAACAGTCTTCCTCTGGGTTGAGCCCTGTGAGTTCTAAGTGGGTTTTGTAATGCGCAGCATCCTTCCTGATAAGAGCAGAAAAGCTGGTCCGGGCAGCTTTTTTGCCAACTCAATGTGTCATTCCTCTGTTATATGTTACTCTGGAAAAGGTGCTTAAAATTCAAAACTAATACAGATTTATGGCAGAAAATAAAAGCCACAGAAAGTGGACAAATAATGTCAAGCATGACAGATCAAAAAATAATTTCTGCGAAAGCATTGCCAGTGGCCAGTTGTGGAATGATGGCTCAGCTATTTCTCTGAGCAGTTTTTCCAGGCGTAAACCGGAAGTAATTACAGAGTTCTGCTTCTCGGGGTAGTTAGGAAGAAAAATATGCGTCAATACAGAAAAGCTAGTGCAACACACGTGGTACAGTTAAACGTGAGCGTGAGTATGTGATCATCTGTAAAGCTCACCCGAAGCAGCACTGAAGCTTATTTTACAGTAAATATCTGTTTGCTCAGTGTCAGTAAACACTGTCCAGCTGCCCTCTCCCGCGAGGAAGGGGCTGGGCTCCCCTTACCGATGTAGCGGGTGGCCTCATCCGTCTCCCCACCAAAAGCGATCTTCTGTCCCTCGAGCAAACTCAGGAGCCTCTTAAAGTGACGAAGATTGATGATCCTTTCATAATCAGGAGATTCTTTTATATTTTCTCCATAAAATTCCTATTTAAAGCAATAGTGTTTAACTGTCACAAAAGACCCATATTTCAACTTCTTTAAAAGTACAAAATCCACTCATGCTCAGAAATCGATCTGGTTTTATATCATCACATCTCCCCCCACCAAGTGCTTTAATGGTACTGACTGTTCCCAACTTTGAGGGTTCAACTCCAGGTCTTTTGACTTTTTGACGGCACAAAAGTGACACAACTTGAGCAGAAAGTGTACTTGGAACTTTGACCTTTTCCCGGGCCAGTGAGGTGCGGTGTGCACTATCTCCGGCTGGGCGGCGGCGGCAGCGGCAGCAGCAGCGGTGGCTGTGCCCAAGAGCAGGCTAATGTGAGTGCTGAGCGCGTTTAAGCTCTGCCGCACGAAGCGGGGATGTTCAGCAGGTTAGGTGCCAAACCAACTTCCACTTATATTTTCAACTTATAATGGCTTCATCAGATGTCACCCACTGCCAGTCACGGAGAATCTGCAATCGAGAATCTGCAATCGAGGCACATCCAGGCCTCTTGGCATGTCAAGGACAGGAGTTCAAGCAGCCGCACACGCTTGTCATTCCCCACGGTCTCCGGGCTCAGAGGGATCTCTGGTGTCTACCTGTGGGCCCAAGCCCGAGCGGGGGGCCGCGAGAGCAGGTAGAAGGTCTCGCTCCATCTGAGGACCCTGTTTCCCTATGACTGTGGCTGCTCCCTGCACGGAGCTGTGGCTGCAGCAGAGACCCCAGGACCTGCAAAGCCTAGAATATTTACCATCCAGCCCTCTGCATGCAGGTGGCTGAGCTGTGTGCTTTTCCATCGTTTTCCATGTTCTCTAGACGGGCATTCCCATCCGTCACAGATGACAGGGCAACCACTCAGATCAAAATACAGCCCGGTCAACTGAACAAGGCAAAAACCTTGATGGCCATAGAATCAATATTTATTATGTAAAACAAACACGAAATGACTGGATTGCTGCATCACTTCAAAGCCTCATGACAGCTCTCAGCTTACTCTCAAATCAAAATGAGCACTGCTGCCCACCTGCACACACAGCTCAGGTCTTGGCAAGACTCCAGCAAGGAGCAGCCACGCCTTCCTTCCCGCTCAGGCGGGCACCTCCTAAACTCCAAGGGACCCCAGGAGATTTGCAACCAGGGGACCCCTGAACCTGTCTCCAAGGCCCCTTTTCCCTGACTCCCCAGAGAGCCAGAGCAGCCCGGCCCAGGCTCTCCTGCTGCTGCTTCTCTCCTAAGCACCCCTTGTTTCACTGCCCCAGCTTCCATAAACGTCCTCTCAAATCAGACAAACCAACCCGCCCCCAAACAAACAAAAATCATCCCAGCAGCTTGCTGACATGTATGTTCCTGCCCGCCCCCCTGCCCCCCCCCTCCCCCCGTGCCACCAACCACGGTTTTCCATGCTGGTGGCACCTTAGACCAACTGAGCCACAGCTGGAGGGTGAGGACCGGGAACTGTTCCTACATGGCTTCCTGGTGACCTCAGTTGAGAACTGTGCTCAGAGAATAAATGTCTCAAAGGCCACGGGTCTTACTCCTTTGAAGCCAAGTTCGTCACCATTCTCAACAAAGCACGACTTCCGATTCTCAAGGACTCGTCGTCTCACAGGGGTTTTTAATCCCCTCTTTGCCATCTCACATTCCCCGAGTCTGGCCAATGCTCCTTCATTTTCTCCTCATCTGGCTCCATCTTCCGTCGCTTCACTTCTGTCCAAGCCCCTTGGCCCCTGAGGCCCAGTGGCCCTGCCCAGAGCACTGCACTTCCCTAAACTCCTGGTGTACAGGTCAGTTCTCGACCCTTCTGTTCAGTGCTCAGTTAGCACCTGTCAAGTGAACAACGATTGTTCCAGTAATTTCTCCCACCCAGGGGGCTTAGTGACCCCTCCCACGGGGAACTCGTCACACTGGTCTATCCCATTCTTTTCTTCAACCCAAACCATGTGTTTCTTCAAGGCACTGAGGACCCTCCCATACAGCCTTCCTTGATTTCCTCGCTAGAGATCTTTACTTTAAACACCTGGAAGACCAATAACCATGTCAAGAACATACTAGAAATAGGTGGTTGATTAACTCACTCCTCCAAACACTCTACATACACAACCACTGGCAACCTTAATTAGCATGACCACTATGCCACCTGATTACACACAAAGGCCTGGCAACATGCTCTCAAAACCACACACATAGTTATTTACCCGTGTGCAGCAAGCGTTTTTAAAACATGCAATACCTGACTATTTAGTAAGGGGAACTGACCTATTTCCCTTTAGCTTTTCAGATAAAAAAATGACAACAGCCAACACAACAGCCGTCCAGTGTGAACGAATCAAAACTATACCTATTTTTTCATCAAATTGGGGGAAAAAAATAGTTTTTGGTGTGCCGCAGAATTTCAGTAATCAGTTTGTGCGCCATGAGATGAAAAAGGCTGAAATTGCTGTTTTAAAGCATGTACCACAACTAACCAGTTTATCCATCAATAAATCAATTAGACAAGTGGACTTAACACCAACCTACCCTTACTCCCAGCAGACACTCCATGGAAAGGGAGCATTTTTAATTAGCCAGTAAGTTAACGTAGTCACACAGACTACTGGGATTTTCCCGGGGAAGGGAGGGTATAAGGATGCTGCCTGCAAACAGCTGATCTGACTCATCTTCATGAAACCAGCGGAGTCAGACATGTTACACACTCACCTTCACCGTTTCCTTAATCTTCTGCACGATTTGACTCTGGAGAGATGGTTCACAGAGAACGTAGTCGGGAGCGATGCAGGTTTGACCGCAGTTCATGTACTTCCCCCAGGCTATGCGTCTGAAGGGGAAAAGCCCAGAGCCACGGGATGAAGTCTACTCTTCATTTGTTACATCTTTTGTGCTGTTTGAATGTTTTCAACTAACGTGTGCAAACACTTACTTGGTAATCTTTTGTTGTTGTTGTTAATCCTAACCAGAGGATATTTTTTCCATTGATTTTTAGAGAACGTGGAAAGGAAGGAGAGTGGGAGGAGAGAGAGAGAGAGAGAGAGAAACATCGATGTGAGAGAGACACATCGATTGGTTGCCTCCATGCATGCACCCCAACCAGGGCCAGGGATCGAACCTGCAGCCCAGGTACCTGCCCTTAACTGGGAATCGAACCTGTGACCCTTCCATGCGCAGGCTGATGCTCTAACCAGCCAGGGCACTTGGCCATCTTTATAAAAATAAAAATATTTTAAGAATTCGTCTCTAAATCAGTTGGCTGGAACTTGGAATGCATTTTCCAACTGATGTGAAGTACTCTAAGGAGCGGGGAAATTCTCATGCCAACTCACGGGAAACGGTCCTTTGAGCGCAGAGAAACCACTGCCTGCTACAGGAAAGAGAAATAGCCTCTCACACCCTCTTCCTCCCCCCACTCCAGCCAAAAGGACATGAGGGATGGCAGAGTTCCACACAGGCTCTGCCCTCCTGGCTGCGGCTTTAGTCCTGCTGGCAGGAGGCTCAGGCACGCAGAACAGCAGCCACTCTCCTTGAAAGCTGTGCCCATGGACCGGTCAAAGTCTGGGCCACGAACATTCTCCAACGGAGGGTCCCATATTCTGGCAAAAAAGCAGACTCCTGCGTACGAAGGCAGCCTGGACCCCAGCTAACCCTCATTGCCTCCCCCTTGCTCCGTGTCTCTGAGGGAAGAGAAGCCACACCACCCTGAGCACACAGCCCTCTGGGTTTTGGTCCTTCCTGCTAGCGAAACCTGATTTAGCAGAGAGAACCTGACACCTTTGGTTTTCTAGTTCCCAGATGCAAAATGCTAATCTTAGTTCAAAGATAAGTAATACTGGTTTTATCAACAAAGGAACTCAGCTAAGAAGTGGACAGAATGCCCTTTCTGCTGGGAATGTATGCATTTTATTAGGCATACACAATACTGCGGATTACCTACTTCCTGGATCACCAACCAGCAGGAAAGTAGAATTTCTTGTAGATCTATAATCTCAGTACAGAAGATCCCTCCCGTGACTCCTAGGGAGTGAGGACCTACTGCGCATCGCTGCTGGCAGTGGCAGGAAGAGACAGTTTGTGCAAGAATTCTGTTACCCGTGAGGACATCAACCACCAAAGCTTCATGTCTCTCGGGCCAAGAGGCGGAGGGTTCCAGAGCAAAGAGGACACATCAACCTGTTAGGGAAAGGCCCCTCTGTGCTGGGAACGCCCCCCTGACCAGGGAGCCAGCTCACCTGCAGGCGACGTCCAGGTCACAATCTCTGTCGATGTAGCACGGACTCTTCCCGCCCAGTTCCAGCGTCACAGGGGTCAGGTGCTTGGCAGCAGCTGCCATGACGATTTTCCCCACCGCAGTGCTTCCGGTATAGAGAATGTGGTCAAACCGCTGCTTCAGGAGCTCGGTGGTTTCCTCAATACCACCCTTCGCCACAACATACAGGTCCTTAAAGAAAGAAAAACAGCTTTGGCCGGTGTGGCTCAGCTGGTCGGGCGTTGTCCTCCCCACCTCAAAGCTGCCAGTTCAATTCCCAGTCAGGGCTCGAACCCCCGCCCCCCGCCCCCGGGGCTGGGGGGGCATGCAGGCAGCAGCTGATCAATGTTTCTCTCCCTCCTTCTCTCTCTCTCAATTCAATTTTTAAAAAATCTTTTAAAAAAAAGAAAGATAAACATTTGCATTGCCAAATTAATCCAACTGCCTAACGAGCAGTTTCTTCAACATGGACATATAATATTCAGTAAAACCGAGAAAAGATGGAGACCAGCCCTGTGAGGATAGAAGAGGGAGCAGATGCAGGACAAGGGTGGGACAGAGTCCAGTGGCATCTGAGAACCATCACCCCCAGGGGACTGAGTGGAGAGCGCAGTGTTTTCTACATGAGCTCAGCAGCGAAGACACAAGAGAGCAAATGGTTGGATTTGGCCAGGGAAACGTGTAAGATGGGGACTGTGCACGTTGAGGATTCAGGTGAGAAAAAAGTGGCTGCTACGAACGACCGCGGAGCAGGTCCCCGCTTAATGTCTGAACCTGAACATTCTCTCTCCACAACACAGCGGAGGGCTTAGCCCATGGTAGGAACCAAGTAACTGCCTGCTGAGGACTGGGGTGCAAAGCGCAGCAGGCGGGACACTCGCTCTGAAGTCAGATCTGACTGACTCTTCGCTCTGTGACTTACTAGCTTACGTGTTTTTGGCAATTTCCTCGTCTGTTACTGGGAGAAGTCCCACGGCTTTGGGCTGAGCCCTACAGGACTGTGCTGTCGCCAGCACTGCTATGAAAGAAGGTGCATTTTGAAAAACGACATGAAGAGCAACGACAGAGGACAGATGACGAGGAAGACGGAGGGAGACGTGTTCAGAGCATTCTGAGGTGCTGGCATGAAGTAAAAGCTGGTTTGTGGACCTCATGTTTCCACTAATTAGGTCTCCTGCTAATTAGGAGGGCTAATCAGTCCTCATGCACTTCAGAGTTCAGCTGCCCAACTGTTTTGTTTTAACTTGCGTATGGCTTAATCTACAGAGCATGTGTGCTCGATGCCCCAACAGCGAAGTGAGGCAGAGTGGGCATTACTATGCCCATCTGGACGGTCAGTGAAGAATTTACCCCTGCTGAGGGGCGAAGCAGGCCCTGCAACCTCTGTCCTCTGGTTTCTAATCCTACTCAACTCACGACATCTCTCTGTTTTCATCATCCTTCGGAGCTGGATAACCACAGCTATTAGAACAAACCTGTTCTGTGGTTAAGACAACAAAGAACAATATTATTCCAAGGGCCGGAGTTAGATTATAAATTCACGTGGACAACTACAAGTATGATATTTCCAAGTTGCCTTCCAAAGGCAGTCAAATGAGGGCTCCTTCCTGCAGCCATTCCACGTAGAACTCAACAGTCCCAGCTCCGTGACGGTGGCGCGAGGACCTCCGACTCGAACAGAGACGGAGCACCTGTGGTCCGGAGCGCATCTTCCCTAGTCAACGCTGACGCTCTTAAATGCCAGCATTAACCCGAGGGACAACTCTGGTTTGGGAGGCCATTTCCTCCTGTAGCTTCATGCCACAAACAGGCCCACTTTAAAGCGAAGTGTTCTTATACAGTCACATTCCATTCAGAGATGGTCAGAACCCAGCACCGTACTAGTCCCTCATTAAGTAATTCACCAACTGAATACACCTAAAACCCTGTTAGATCAAACAAATCCTAAAGGCAGAAGAGGATCTATAAGAAGCAGGGGTGCCCATGAAGCCATTGGCTCAAGTGTACTGCATAAACACAATAGCTGAGCTGTTCTAAGTTTTTTTGGAGCCAACTTCTTTTATTAAGCCAACTGTTGGAGGCTTAAGGGAACTGCAAACTGATCCCCAGCCATCCATGACATGTACAGGAAGAGAGGTCAAATGGGCGTTTCCCACAACAAAGAGATGTTTTGAAGACGGCCAAGGCATTCTTACCTGGTCCAAGTACTGGGGGAGGAGCTTAGCCAAGAGGTTGGCTGTATTTTCACTGAGTTCAGAAGGCTTGATAATCACAGCATTTCCTAAACAAAGCAAAAAGCAGAACAGTATCATCTAATACTTGATTAAATTTTTAATAGCTACCAAAATGGTGTTCATGCAGGCAGTACAGGCTAAGTACGCCAGTTATTTCTGCTGCTCTTAATTCTGTTCTTCCTCCTGAGCCTAAGAACTTGTCTCAGTGTCTCTATCTCCAATGCTAACTTTTTAGTTCTCATTGTCTTCCGATCACTAACCACCCCACGCCTCTATCTTCCCATCACTTTTCTCCTACTCCCACGCCTGGACTTTCCTCTCTGCCCTGGAATTATTGGGCAAACAGGCCTTGTCAACAGAAAGCTGCCATTCTGGATCCTGCAGAAATGAGACCTTAATCTCTTGGCATTTACTATAAACCCAGGCCAGCATTGCTCCCATAGCCCTTATCTGAATGAAGAAATGGTCAGACAGAATCAAATGGTTCATCCACGGCCACAGCTGGCAACTGAAACCACATTAGCATATGGATGCCTGACTCCAATTCCACTCACGCCTTTATATTCTTAAATTCTCCTGGTGTAAACCAAGGCATGCCATCAAAGCAAATGTACTTCATTAGCCACCATCCTTAATTCACAATCAATGAGAACAGGACCCTCTGAAAAGGTATAAAGACATAAGCTGACACCAGACCTGCAGCAATGGCTCCGATCAGTGGCTGCATGGTGAGAACGAAGGGGTAGTTCCAAGCCCCGATAATCAGGACGACCCCCAGGGGCTCTGGCTGGATGTAGGCCTCATCCATCATGGTGAGCAGGTTCTTCTTGGCTGGCTTAGCAGTAATCCACTCAGGAAGCTGCTCCAGCACGAGATCAACTTCCCCATGAATGGTAATGACTTCCTGGCTGTATGCATTCAGCTCACTCTGTCAGAAGAGTCACAGTAAACCTTGCATAAGTACGACACACTCAACCCCCGGTGTCAGAAACTTCAGGCCAGGCACACCTGCAGGGCACACGGGCATGATCAGACCAGCTGGCTTGCCATTCAGATGCCTTTTGCACCTCCAAGCTGTCAGACCTGCTAACTCCCTCTCTAATAGACTCAATCCCTTTAAAACCTCTTTATTCATCCAAGGCATTTAAAACCAGGCTTAAACATTACCTTCAGGATGACTTCCCTGATTGATAACGGCTTGCCTTGATCACACGTTATAAACCACAGCAATTATGCTTTTGACCTACATCTTAATATTTGACCTTAATACAGTAGTTTATAATTATCCTCATATTTTATCTGTGTATATTTTGTCTCCCAAATTTAAAACTCTCGAGGGCAAGGAAGTTACTGTATTTCTTTAGTAATCTCACACACACACACACACACACACACACACACACTAGAGGCCTGGTGCACAAATTCGTGCATGGGTGGGGTCCGGCCAGCCTGCCCCAATGGGGGCCATCAGGGCTGGGCCGGGCCGGCTGGGGGGAGGGACGCAGGATGTTGGCCGTCTGGCCCTGCCCCTGATTGGGGTGGGGGGCCGATTGGGGGCTGGGCCGGCGGGGGGACGGACTGCAGGAGATTGGGAGGAACAATCAGGGCACCGATTGGGCCGGCTGGCTGCCGCAGTGCGTGTCATAGTGACTGGTCATTCTGTCATTCCGGTTGCTTAGCACATACACACACACACACACACACACACACACACATACTAGAGGCCCTGGTCGGGGGAGGGTCCCTCAGCTCGGCCTGCGTCCTCTCACACCCTGGTACCCCTCGGGGATGTCTGACCTCTGGTGTGGAGCGGGCCTAAGCCGGCAGTCGGACATCCCCTGAGGGGTCCTTAGCGCTGCCGGAGGTGGGAGAGGCTCCCACCACCGCTGCTGCGCTCGCCAGCCGCGAGCCCTGCTTCTGGCTGCGTGGCGCTCCCCCTGTGGGAGCGCACTGACCACCAGGGGGCAGCTCCTGCATTGAGCGTCTGCCCCCTGGTGGTCAGTGCATGTCATAGAGACCAGTTGTTCTGCTGTTCGGTCAATTGGCATATTAGGATTTTATTATATAGGAAGATAGATAGATTCACACAAACATTTCATGCTTGTAGAATAAATGATTCAGACTTTTCTGAAATCTTAATTAGTCCATCTTGTTTATTTGATACCACAGCCCTTCACCTAAAGCACACTAAAGGGAATTTTATAGTTCCTGTTGTTACTACTACTAAGATACTACTACCCTTCAAAATAATCTTTTGGGGGAAGTGAGGGAGAGGGAGACTCACAAAGCCAGAGCAAAGTCTTGTTCCCTGTGGAATAAACATAAAAAGTAAAAACATAAAGGGGGAGAGGGGTAGGAGATACCTGTAATACAATCAACAATTTAGAAAAAGTAAAACCAAAATGACAATATTATTAGAAAACACAGGGGGATATATGTATGCCCAAGCACTACCCTGACCTTGCTACTCACAGCTTGGTTCCAAAACAGGCGCCCGGTATCACCTGGGAGCTTATTAGAAACTCGGACTCTCAGACCCGCCCCAGACCTGCCGAACCTTAGCCTGCATTTTAACGCGGTCCCCAGGGGTCGCCAGCGCGCCAGCTGGAGGAGCCCTGACCTAAAACGCAGCCATGGATGAAAATTTAAGTGCAACAACGGCAACCAATACACCTCTTTCTTCAAAAGAACCAGTAAAAAAAGTTAAAAGGTAAGAAACAGACTCGGAGAAAAATATCTGCAATGTATTACGCCGACAAATGACCGAAATCCAGGATATAAAAGAATTCCTAGGAAAAAGGACCATAAATGCCACAGAAAAACAGCCAAAACTATAAACGGCAATTCACGAACAGAAGCCAGAAAGCACACGCACTTCTGTGTCTGCAAACCGCCCGCGGGGTGTCCGAGCAGGGGCGGTCGGGCGAGGGGGGCACCTTCTGCGCCCCCACCCCCACCCTCCCGCCGGAGCCGACCCCGTCCCCGACCCCGTCCCCGCTCCGGGCGTCCTCAGCCCCGGCCCGGCGCCCGCGCACCTTGCTCAGGTCCGCGGCGATGGCCGCCAGGATGTCCCGCTCGCGCTCCTGCACCATCCTGCGCAGCGCCTCGAGCTGCTGCAGCCGGAACCTCAGGGGTCGCGACCGGCCGCTCTGGAAAGCGTCGCGCACCCGCTGGACCAGGCGCTCCATGGCTCCCTGCGCCGAGGAGAGAGGGGGTCGGGGCGTGCGCGGGGCGTGGCGGCCGCCCCCCTCCCCCCACGCCGCTTCCTCCCCGCTCGCTCCCCGCCGCTCCCCGCCGCTCCCCTCTGCTCCCCGCCGCTCCCCTCCGCGGTGGACCCCGGGCCGCACCCGCTCACTCTGCCCGACGCGTCCTCTGCACCCGCCGAGCCGGACTGCCGGCCGC